CTCCGCCGCGTCCCCGGCAGCTGGTGCGGGGCGGCTCTCACCCGTTGTGCCGCTTCTTTTCCAATCTTAGGGGCTGAAGAACGAATTGTTGGAAAAATACTACAAACATGGAGGGAAATTCCTCACCATGCTTCCAGATGGAACAGCGCAGTTATTGTATCCTTCACGGGCCCATTTGCCCAGGGCTGTCACTAATCGTAAGGGTGTCCTAACCCGGTCCTCTGCTCAGACTCGCTTTCAGAGTCCAAAACAAAGCAGTAGTGAAACCGCTTACGTAGCTCTTGGTCTGAAGTTTTTCACATCAGCCAGTAGCTTCGACAAAGGACGGGCCCTTGTGTCTTTAGGAACGTGGTATCCCAGCGTTCAGACCCGCTCCCGAGCTCTGGCCGCCCGTGGAAGGGCGCTGCTGGCCGAGGGGTCCCTGCAGCGTGGGCTCCGAAAGCGCTCAGCCCTGTTCTTCCCCTGGGGACAAACCAGCACAACGTTTCCCACCGGCACAGCGCTGACGGCTCTGTCCTGTGGGCAGGAGTATGTACCGGGTGCAGGGACAAACTGAGAGGGCTCTGAAATATTTAGTGTGTAACAACAGACCGCCCAACCCGAGGGGTTACGAACACCTATCTGACGACAGCTATCCGTCTGGAAATCTGGCCATCATTGTCATACGAGAGAAAAACCAGCTCACTTGCATAGTACAGGAAGACAAGCCGAGTAACTCCAAAGTACGCGCGGTGTTTGAGTCCAACGGCAGAAGTACTTGCTATTACCCGAACGGAGCCGAGTGGTACGTTGAGGCTGGTCAGAGCAGTTTTGCTCCCCACTGCGCGTTTTAAATGTCAAAGATCTTAAAGGGTATTTTTAATAGCAAAAATGAAAAGACAAATATAGCAGCTCGTGGGCCCTGCTTCGGGTGCCTCGCAGGGGAGCAAGGCTACCCCAGCTGTGTCTTGAGCTGGGGGGTTAGATCCCAAACTAGCTGTGCCTCAGTCCTTCCCCTCTGGGGAACGAGACACATTGGCCATGGGAGCCGCCAGGTGCAAAGCTTTGATTTTCCTCTCTTTTAGGATAACCATGAGTATTCAGGGAGGGCAGTATTTGGACCAGGCAGGCAGCAGGGTGAGAAGGTGGATGTGGCCAAACGGCATCACGTCATCAGGACCCCACGTCCCGCTGAGCCCCATCTTCATCTCCCTGAACCGGCACGTGGGGGTCAGGATCCTGGGCCAGGACAAGATCGTCGTTTCCTTCCTCGCCATAGGGCAACAAGCCAAATTCAACGTGGGAACCAAAGTGCAGGTATTTCTGAAGGGCACAGGCAGCTCCACGCAAAGCCGCTCCCCACAGCGGGAGCGGGGCGGCCAGGGACGCTCCCGTCCGTGGGGAAGAGAACTCGTCCTGCGGTGAGTGCTTCCCGTGCTGCCCCACAGTCCTGCCCCCCCAACAGCGACTGGCGATGTACCCACGTTTGGCCCCACGCAGATCGGGGCTCGCCTGCTCCCGCAGCCCTGGCTCTCTGCAAGGGGCTGCGCAGGACGGGAAGCAGTCCCGGCCAGGTCCCCGGTGTCCCGGGCTGCATCCCCGAGGGTCACCCTGGCTCTGCCGTGGGAGGAGAGCTGCGATCCATGTGGGCAGGGTGCGTGGCAGCTCCCTTCCTCCATGGACAGGTCTGTCTGCTGGGGACAGACCAAAGCCCCGAAGCCCCGTTCCACGCTGCTGTGGCTCTGCTGACACCGTTTGCCTCCGCTCCCCAGGTCAGTGACGGCGGGCGGCTGCCTGCCCCTGCCCAGCTGGATGAAGACGAGCTCCTGCTGCTTGCCTTCAGGGTGAGGATCCTGCGGCTCTTTGACAGACTGCGTGGATGCTTAAACTTTCCTTCCAATGAGCAACGGGACAAAATCAAGCCACCAGCATACCTCATCACACAGACTTTAAAGATCTTACAGCTCTGCACAACCTCTGGCATAAGCGATGAGCTACGCAGCTCCGTCAGGGCGATAGTAAATGCTCAAGTCTGACCAGCACGTGTGGGGTGTGAAGCCAAAATGAGGCAGAGACGCTCGCTGACACTGCAGCACCTGCACACCCCCAGCAAGGTTTCACCTGCAGCCCTGCCCGACCGCGGTGCACAGCAAAGGGCAGCCCGTGTCCGTCCTGCACGGCCCCTCTCCTGGGGCCATCCCGCCCCAAGGGGGTCTCGCTCAGCACGAGTGGGGCTGCGGGGCAAGGAGTACCAGACCACGTTTTCTTGTCAGCCCACACTGCAGCGCATCTTGGCCACGGAGGCACGAAGAGGAGCTTTGCTCGGGGCAGAGTAACCCCGAGCACCATGTCAGTGCATCGCTTGTGAGCAGCCTCCCTCTGCCCAGGCTGCTGCGCGCGGGGACACCTCGGAGCCTCCAACGCTGCTCACGGATGGGAGCACTTGGGGAAGGGGGAGCCGGGCAGCGCTGCCCTGGCCGGTGCAGAAAACCTTGAAGGTCGGCCTGCTCAGGCGATGGGAAGTCAGGGCAGACTGGAGGGAGCACGGGAGCAGGGCGATGCCTGGAGGGTTCCTCGCTGTCCCCCCTTCCCTCAGGTCCTCCTGGCCACAGGTCAGCAAGCACACGTGAAAAAGGCTTTTACTCTATACAGCTGCAACCGCAACACTAGTAGGAAGTTGCACAGTAAACAAATCCAAAAAAATTAAATCCAATTCATGTCAAATTAGGCTCTGGCTAAACGTGCTATATTCATTAAGTTCACATTTATTACAGACTGGGAATTGAAGTCTACCAGTCCAAGACAGACACTACTTGCAGGTACTTGTTAATGAGCAGCATGATGGCTCTGCTCATAGCACGGCACACACCACTGGGAAGGGGCTCGTGCCGTGCCGCCGCAGCCAGGCAGCCTTGCAGGGCACCTGCCAGCCTCGAGAGACACCCCATCCCCAGGAGAGGGGCGGTGGAGGGGATGGGTCCAGCTTGCTCACTGGGCTCGCACTGGTCTCACCACAGGCGCGTCAGAGGGGTGCAGGGCCTTGGGGAACGGGCACAGACTGGACATTCAACGGAACAACTGCGGTTTAGATCCACACCAAAGCCTGTAACGCAGTCCGCTGGGCCAAATCATGTACTAAAACGATCAGAAGCAGCGGGGCATCAGCACACAGCCCTGCCCTCGCCGCTCCGTGCCCAGGCGATTTCAGAGCTTTCCAAAAGCTGGAGTGCAGGACAGACCCCCCCACACCAGAGCAGCGTCCTGCTGCCACACGGCCCTGCTCCTGGGAAACTGCAGGTTCAGGCAAAAATCTTTGATTAAATAACTTCTAGATTCTAAATCGTTGATTTAGAAAGACTTAAATCACACCTGCGAGTCTGATTTTGACCTGTATGCCACTGCAATCCCGGTTTTTAGCAGGGTTATAAGCAGGTTACATGTGATTTACACCAGCACGACACAAGACCTGCTCACAGACCTCTGCTGCAAACGGCTTATGTGTAACAGCCCGTTTCTCTGCACTCGCAGTGGGAAACAAGTCCCTTTTCTGTCCTCCCCTAGTCCGTGCCCAGCTCACAGCAACTCCACCAGACTGGCATCATCTACCCTTGTGCTTAACAAGCCAAGACCAACAAGTCTGAATTTGCCCCTCAGGTTCATTATTTAGTATCCATTTTGCACGCCGGTGGAATCAATCAAGTGTTCAAACGGGGCTTTTGTGGATAAATGGGTCTTTACACCTTCATTTCAGTTATGAAGTAGCATCGCACAGGAGGGGAGCGCAAAAAGCTGCAATTTTAAGTCCCAGACAACACGCGGCTCTCCGTTTCCACACCACCGTTCCGTTCCTCGGGCTGGGAGTGCTCCATGAACGGCGATTGCGGGGCTCAGCCCAGCCCGTCAGAACAAGCCCGTGCGGCCCAGCCAACACCCCGGAGCGAGCACGGACAGGACCAAACCGCTGCCCAGCCTGCGCCCCAACCAAAAACCTTCTGGTGCCTTTAAGGGACACTCGCACTCCGACAGGCCATGGGGAGGGGAGGGGCAGCAAGCAAAGGGAGGCTGTTGGGCCTCAGACAAGACAAACACAGGATCGATGACTTTGGAAAGTAGGCGTTTTATGCATTTTTTTCAACTGCAGTTCTAGGAATGTCCATCAGCGACTCAAACAAGGTACTTCACACAGTTAATGAGAACCCTTTATTTAAATTAACTTTCTTGGTTTCTCTTTCAGACAGTAGGAAGGCCCAGCTTTTCATCTCTTCAGAGCGGTCAAGGACAAACCTTGAGCGGGCCAGCACAACTGAAAGAGCAGCTGATCTTAATTCTCACTGAAGTCACAAAACGATGTAACTACTCCGCATATAATTTTGTTTATATAATTTAGTATATAATGCACTGTTCAACTCTGCCATAGATTTTGAAAAATATACAAACCTGCTTTAACCACATCAGAGATACCCGACAGACAGCTGTCAATTACTTAACAGTTTGGGACAATACCAGACACTCCTATAACTTCATTTTAAACTACAAAAAGAACATAAATTCATAGAAAATACAACGGATTAAACAAACTTTTTTTTCCAAGGAAAAATTAGGTATCAACTCAATCTGCCATCGTGTGAAACATGAATATAAAATAAGTTACAATTAGTAATGCCTGCATTGCTGAGCTATGAACTGGTCGAATGAAATCTTAAAAAAACTATACAGTATTATTGCACTCCATGGCTGTGCAGTATCTGGGAACGCGCCAGCACTGAAAGGGGTCTTTCATTAAGTTTTTTTCAGGAGGCCCAACGCGGCTGCGAGAGAAGCATCCAGTCTGTACTAACAGCGGGCTGTCTTCAGTACAGGCCTTCATGGGTCCGAGCCGCGCGGCCCTGGGAAACCGCCACTTAAT